TGAAGAACTATGGGACAGAAAGTCTATACTTTATTAAAATAGGGTTCTCAGAAGCAATTGACTCCCATTTGTCTTTTCAAGCCTAGAAGGATCCAGCCTGGAGACCTCTGGGGCAAGGAGGCAGGCTAGGACTCACAGAACCTAATGCCACGACCTGCTCCATAACTCTTCCTCCTGTTGGCGGGCGGCTGTCCCAGGATGCCTTCCCTCCCCTGGAGTCATGGGCTGACTCCACCAGGAGGTTGTTAATGAATGCTGGGACTGTGACACAGTTACAGTATGGCTCAGTCCCTCCTACCCAGCCTGCTCACAGCCACCCCGTACCTGGGCTGGCCTAGTCCTAGGTCTAAATATGCCCAGCCACGCTCGTGCAAACTGTGCCTGCATCTCCTTTTCTCCTCCACTCTGCCTTGTGTTCTAATCAATCTTGCATTCCCTACTTGCACAATGGGAGAGAGTCTCCCCACTTGCTTCTCTGCTTTCTGCCACAACTCAGGTTTATTTAGTACATCCATGGATCTCTTCTGAAGGTTCAGTTGGCAGCAAGGCACCAAGGAGAATCAAGAAACCCTCTGCAGAGTATTCGTCATCATTTATTTTCAACAATATTTATAACACAGTACTATAGGCTAACCACTGAGCCTAGTGATAAAAAAACAGAGCAAATAACAACATAAATCTTTCCCTTTCAATGGGCAAGGACAACTGAATTAATAGAAATGAGGCAAAATAAAGAAAAAATACAATTGACACATTTAAATAGTATAATATTGTTATTACAAACACAAAACGGTTATTCAAGTGCTTTACAAATGAAATGCTGCTTTTAGGCTAAATACACATTCTCAGTAGAGCCTTCAAGACTCAGGAAGAGGAGTAATTCCCCTGTGGCCGGGGACTTTTAGAGGAAAGGCCACACCGTGGGCTGGTGATCCTAGGGGCCCTGTGCTAACTGATGTACACAAAGTAGATAAGCTCCCAAATTGCTCTTACCTCACACACCCCTGAAGACCAAAGAACACCTTGGAAATACTAATGCTAGTATACTCTCATTAGTTTTCATTATTAATAGAAAGATGCATCAAACCACAAGGTTATAATCTACTATGTATCACGCACTATAGTCATAATTTATCTCAGCAAAATTTTAACAACATACTAAATATTCTTTACATCATTTTAGAGCAACAATTATTCCACCTGGAAATACTCTAAATGTACTTCAAAAATTCAGCCAGCCAGAGGCCCACTTTTGCCCAGTGAGTTTATACCACCATACTTCTGTGTCACCTCCTTATTCAGGAGATTCCAATGTAGCTCTATTTTGTCGTTAATATCCAGATTCCTATAGATCATGGGATTATTTTCAGTCCCAGGGCTCAGTCCATTGTTAGGGCACACATGCACATTTATCAATGAGATGAACGTCCTAAACAGAAAAAACCTCCCAACAAACCTGTACTTTTCTGTCTCATTTAAGGGCCAAGTTTGGTCTGGATACTGGGTGGGAGGCAACTCTATTCTTCACTACTCCCACTAAATAAACCCAACAGGACTGTGTCTGGGATTAGCATGGTTTCAGGATCTGGGCAATATTAGGTCCTATAATGTCCTGGCTACAGAAGGTAGATCTGAAAATTTTAAAGGGAAAAAAAAAAGAATTTTAGTGCGATTCCAGGGAGAAAAAAGACATTGGTAGATCTTCCAATTTAATGAGTAGTTATTTTCTAAACACTTGTGCAAATATAATATTGATTCTTAAATAATTTCACTTCCTTTAATTGCAAAATTTCAAGATGTGTAAATTTTTATACTAGTTGCAAATTTCAAATTATATGTGGATGTAAATATCATTTATCAAATTTAAACTATACTTGGAAATGAAAAGGAAAAAGTAATACTTATAACCATATTTTCCAGATATATCTATCACCATTTCTGCTTCCAAGTTATTCTGAGAATGTCCAAACAAATGGTTTTTCCAAATGAATTCAATACTTGTAATGTTTCCAATGTTAATGTCTGCATCAATTAATTTTGTGTAACTCATGCCTGGTTCAAGTTTTTCACTGTAAACAAAAATAAGACTAATAAGCTTGCAAGGGTATTTGCAATGCTGAATGAAAGAAAACACACCTGTGTAAGTACCGTGGAAGAGAAACTTATATTTGCTGGCATTTGCTTGTAGATTTATTCTTTCCATTAATATTGATCAGTATCCCAGAAGAGCATGGTTCTGAAGTTTGAAAGAAGGGTGAAGTGAACGGAAAGCGTGGCTAGCTGATTTTTAGGGGATGCTTAG